CCCGCTTTCACACAGATTTGAATTATTCAAGTCCATGACTTTCAGAAAGGAAAAAATCTTCTGATCATCAAACACTAAACATTACTATACCAACTGCAAAATTGCAGTCTGTGCGAAAGGCTGCCTGTCCTCGGACCTCGCCAAATAAAAATCAAGAGGGCCATGATAAATTTTGATACAGTTATCGAATATCAATTGGGTACACAACAGTTAAATATAATAAATTATAAACTTATTTCTATGTTAATAGATAGTCTATATACAATAGAAATGAAAAAGCAAATCCTACACAACAGTCAACACTGTAAATTTGAATCAGGGTCAGATCGGCCCCTTAAACGTACTTGGCCCTCGAGACAGCTCGGCCCTATTCCAACTCAGCACGGTCAACTAGGCCCATTAATTACATATTACTGATAATGATTACTTTTCTTACTTTTGATATTTTTTCATCATAACTTTCATGGTTTAATATTTTCACACTAACAGACATCTACTCAAGGATATTGAGTCCAATAGATTAGACGTTACAGGCTTGTTATAGTTTTATGTTGGTCAAGCCTGACGTCTAATAGTTATTGCTCATAAACGCGTAGCATTTTGAAAAATTAAAAAAATGTCTGTTGGCTTGCCTTTCAAGCTTTATTCAAAAGCTTATCTTCTGTTCTTTCAATTGCATGGTCTATCATTAACAAAAACTTTCAAACAATGTACTTATCAATTAAAAATAAAATAGAAATATCAGTCTATTTCGCTCATCGGCCATACTGGTTAAGTAAAGCGTTTTACAGATTGATTCCAATTTTTTGAACGGAAAAATATATTCGAACACACCGACGGTGCATGGGCAATTATTTCGTTAAAAAATATTCCGTTAGAAACTTCTGGACTCATTTAAACGCTTGCATTTGTATTAGCCAATCAGATTTCGCGCACTTTATGGCGGCCATTTGTATATCGGCTGTACAAGGAATTTAATTAAATAAGAGGATTTAATCATGACTTTTCGGATGTGACAGTTAAATTATTTTGTTAAAAGGTATTAATTTTTTAGTTTTGTTTATAAATAGGTCAAAATTAATGTAAAATACAGGCTGTTTTAATTGTTTAAATTCATTAGATCTAAATCGATGTCTAATGTCAATTTTTTTGCTACACGATTTTGCAAAGATCTGTTAAGACCTAACGTAACATGGAAAATGAAAAATGTAAAATATCAGATTAATGAATGATAAATATGAAATAGGTTACGTATAGGTCTTATAATTAGGACTAGTCCCCAACCAGTACTCAAGGATATTGAAAAGTATGTGAATTTGTAGAGAAAGAAAGAATTTACAATTTAAACGCATTTTATGCTACTCCAGATTTTTTGTAAAAAATATTGTTAAAGAGGCATTTGTCATATTAAAAAACAAACAGTATTAGATACAATAAAATTCATTGTCACAAAAATTCAATCTAAAAACTCTATTTATTGATTAATATTTAACATATATATATTGTCTTGATATCTCTCCTTAAGATAATTATTTATCTTAAAGATAATTTCAAACAATATGTTATTAACTAAACAATCTAAACAATCTATATCCTAATATATGGTTTAATAGAGGACCGAGTTGACCTGTCCCGAGTTGGTATAGGGCCGAGTTTACCTGTAAATTCAATAATGTAAACAATCCTTGACCTAATTTTGTTTGTCTAACAAATTAACATCTGCAAACACAAAACGATTTTGAACAAAGAAATAAAAGCATTTCCACAAACCTTTGCGATGTTATTCATCAGCAAATCTATGTTTTGGATGGAGAAATCTGAAAAACACGAACGTTATTCTGTCGATGCTCCGAACAATGGCGGGTGTGCCCTACTAGTCAAAACCAAGTTTTACCAAATTGCATCCGTTAATTCCAGAATACTTTTGAAAGACTTGTATTGTAATCTTGTTTTTTATTATTTATATAATAATATTTTTGTTTCAAACGCTTTGATTCTATGAAAGATTGCGAACCATTTTTTGCGAAAATAGTACGCTTTTTTAAGGCCACATATTGTATCAATTGTTTCCTCTTGAGTTATTGACGTAAAAAAAATCAGCGGTGGCATAAAATGCTATTCAATAAATTGCTAAATATATACAATAAATACTTTCATTTCCCTTCGGTTGACTTACATGTGAATTTTTCAGCATCTCTGCTACAAAATTACACCTTATTTATATTCAATTTATTGTAAATAGGTACATGGACACAAACTTTTCTTTTGGCCTAATGCGTAATAATACTGATGTTTTTTTCCGTACACGTTTAAGATTATGTTCCATTGATGTAAGCTAACATTGAATATCATCATTTCAAGTTTTTTTGAACATCAGCTTTTTTTCTTCAAGTCATCCACGTTTGAAAGTATACATATAGTTCTGCTGCACTACTTTCTTGGTCGCATTAACTACTTATTTTCTATTGAGCTTAAACAGAATGCAATTAGGTGTTGTTCGTTCTTTTTAATATAGGCAGACCGATACTATAGACAGGAAATTTTTTTTTGAAAAAATTTCCTTCCAAAAATGGTGAAATTTTGGAATTTAGAAACATCCGCAGATGTGTTCATACGGCGGTTATCATGGAACCTTCAATGTGACACGTTAGTGCCATTCCATGAAAAGGGGTATTTAAGGCCCCTGTGACCGTGACCTTTGAACTAATGACCCGAAAAGCTATACATGCCATCTGCTTGTTATTACGAAATGTGAAATATGAAGACGTTGTGATAATTATCTTTCAAGATAATAAGCTTAAATCAAACTACCATTCAAGGACCCTGTGAACTTGACCTTTGACCTGGTGACCCCAAAATACATAGGAGTCATCTACTAGTGATGGCCAATCAATATGTGAAATAAAAAGACTTTGTAATAAAAAATAACAAAGATAATAAGCGATAATAATACTACTATTCAAGGCCCCTGTGACCATGACCTTTAACCTAGTGACCAAAATCAAAAGGGGTCATCTACTAGTTATGACCAATCAATATTTGAAATATGAAGACTGTGATGAATTATAATCATGATAATGAGAGAAAACCATTCTAACATTTAAGGCCCCTGTGACCATGACCTTTGACCAAGTGATCCAAAAATCTATAGGAGTCATCTACCACTCATGTCCCATCACTATGAAAAATATGAAGACTTAGTGATGAATACTTTTCAAGATAATCAGCGGAAAACATTCTGACATTTAAGGCCCCTGTGACCTTGTGTTTTGAACTAGTGACCCAAAATCAATAGGGGTCATCTTCTACATGTACAAGTTATGACCAATTAATATGTGAAATAAGAAAACTTTGAGATGAATTGTAATCAAGATAATGAGCAGAAACCATTCTGATATTTAAGGCGCCTTTGACCTTGACCTTTGACCTACTGACCCCAAAATCAATATGGGTCATTTACTAGTTATGACCAATCACTTTATGAAATATGTAGACTTTGTGAGAAATAGTTTTCAAGATAATCAGCGGATACCATGTTGTCTACCGACGGACAGACATAACAATATACCTCATCTTCTTTGAAGATGGGGGGGCATAACAAAAGGAGAGAATGATTGACATTCAACAAAACATTACGTTTTTTTAGGTAAAAGATCTATTTTCGATAAAATAGTCAGCTAAACAAATCTCTCAAATGATCAAAGTTTGCTCTTTATTTAGAAGTATTTTAACATGTTATTTAAAAATATATACTGATAAAATATCAAAAATCAAGATCTATTTCCTAAAAAAACATTGGTTACTTTTCCAAAATAGTGCTTTACCAGCAGCTTTTAGTGATGACGTCAACTTTCCTGTCTTCACAGCAGCACGTACACACTTGCTGATGAGCATGTCATGCTTATCAGCAGTCCAGTTCATCTTTTTCGTGCTGAATTGCAGCAGACGTCGTCTTTCAAGATTGACATTAAAATGCGTTATAGTGCTAGTGAGCAAGCGTAAGAATCCATGAAAATTCTACGATTTTAGGTTGAACGTACGATTGCGTTAATAAGACAGTCTTACGATCGGGTGTTCGCCATCGTAGATCAAAATCGTACGATAAGATTGCCTAACTTGTTTTACCGTTTTTATTGTATGATTGTCGTACGTCTATGGTGTCTTATCAAACCTCAAAGGACCTTGTGCTCTTCTTCACAAATGCAAGAAATAAATTAAATTTGGTTGCTAACTAAATAATGAAAATGTTAATAAATGTGGTCTTAATAAAAGACTGCAAAACAGTTAAATAATCAATACCATATAATTGTACATTTGTAAAGAGTGAAAGGATTTAAATTTTGGAAAGTAATTTGGATTTTTGAATAAGGTTTAAACATGTGGGTGGGTCCTTTTTCTTTATCTGAGAATGAACTTGTCTTATTTTTGCATTGACCTAAATCTTTATATGGGCGCATCAGTCAATTCATTTCAGTTAAGGTTTTCATTATTAAAAAGGCTGATAAGTTTGATTATAAACTAATGGACACTTTTTGTAAATTATATTCTCACCTTTAGAACGATATGCATTTGTCTCCTTCTGCTTTTGTATGATTGCCCTAAACTCTTCCAGAATGACCTCCCGTATGTCTTTCGTTGAACAGAGATGAATCTCGTTATCTACTGTTAACGATATAGCAACTTTTCCTTGGTACTTTTCCTCGATTTCATTCATCTTTTTTTCTACAAGACGCATGTCACAGCTATCAACTTTATTTGTGTGCTGATGAATGACATCATCGATGACTGATGCTTTAATAACATCCATGCATATTTCAGAATCATACTTGTTATGGCAACATATGATTAATTTTGTATGAGAAACACTCCAGATGCAATCAAGACCAGCATACTGTAGCCTTTTGTTTACAAAATCGACTATCGGCAATTTTGAGTACAAATTCGACGATAATGCTGATAATGGGTAGAAAAATACAGTTTTAAACTCGTTCTTTATATCAAGCATTATTAGTTTTGCTTTCCTTACATCAAACAGATGCCCTTCTAATTCAACAGCTAAATCATCCTTACTCTCCTTTATACAAATGTGTGGCACTTCCGTTGCTATTTTCTCTCTATACCCCAGTGATCTCAACATTTTAAATTCAACTGCATGTGCAAGAAACAATTTCTCCAGTTTAAACTCCTCCTCGGCATCCCCTGAGAAGTTATCCTCGGAACGTAAGGTGGAAACTAGCCTTGGAGATGTGCCCACGAAAGTTATCATAGATTTTCCTTTGTCCAAAAGAACAAGCATGTTTTCTTTATTTTCTGCAGTGCATTCAACACATGAATCATCCAAATTATATTCACCGATTAAGGTTATACAATGGACATAAATCTTGTCCATCAAGAATTTGAAAACTTCCCTTATTTTCTTTTCCCATCTTAAGATAACTCTATTGGACAAAACTTTTGACTCGTCAACGATGCAGTTAATACTGACTTCGCAACTATCCGATCCTTTCTTTGGCCAATCAATTTGAGCGTGGTGACTAAGTAATTCTTGTTCAACAATTTGCTTAAATTTTTCATTTTGTTGCATAAACCTAAGTACTCGAATGTCTAAATCAGGAATAACAACTGCTTGTGGAATATTTGTGCTGAAGGCTTCATCTTCGGTTTGTGCAACACATTTGAAATATTTTCGAACAGTTAAATCTCTACTTTGAAAAACATGGGCATGACCAAACACACTTTCAGTCACTGTAAATAAAAGCCAAATTTTAGCAGTATTAGTAAATATACAACGAGATCACATGTGTCACCTGATGATAGTCAATTAAGCATTTGACGAGAAGAGTTATTAGTCAGTTTGTTCCTATTTGTTTCGGCTTCTATATGCCGAAGTTACTGTGTAGCAGGAAACACAATTATTATCAATAGTCCAATACGCTCTTATTATTCAAGGGCCATACATCAGTCAAAATCATTCAACTAGAAAACAAATTGAATATATGAACAACTTGAAGACTGATCCTATTTAGTTTCATATAATTTGCATTAGTAGTATAAGAGAAGAAGCTGGGAAAAAACTTGAAAAAAAATGCAAATAATTAAAAGGCAATTTCTCTGACAAGTCACTGGATTGGAAAATTCTGACCATATGCATAACTAATCTAGGGTACTGATCATTGCTTTTAAGTTTGAATGAAATTGGACCAGTAGGTTTTGAGTTTGGACACGCACGTTTGGTGTCTGACTGACGGACGGACGTTCTACCCCAGCTGACGTTATTGTTTTTTCTATTATCTTCTTCGGATTAAAAAAACTAAGCGATGTACTTTCACCACAAAAGGAACATTTTTCAAGTCTGTAAAAATGAACACGTTATTCATCCCATAAGGTTACTTGAGTCCGTTTGGACTGACGACGGACGACGAATATAACATCTCTAAAGTAGGCGACACATAATTGCACTCAAACAATATTCATGTCAAAACAATATGAATGCTTTAAAAACATTTTAGTCTTATTTCGGTCTGCCATGTAAATAAAAACTATAACAACTTTTTACTAAAACATGATTATTTAAACATGTCAAAAAATAGGATCACAGTAAAAGCAAATTGAAATTATTTGTAAAAGTATGTTTCTAAGGGAATGTTTGTTTTTACATCAAGGAATAAAAAACTTAATCATTACTGCAACAAGTTTTCAAAAAATGATATTTCTATATTTTTATTTCAATAACATTTAATTTCAAACCATTTAATCATAAATTTATTAAATCTCTATCCACACAACCTTGTATAGCCATTGGAATCAAAACATTTCATACCTTTATAATCCTCAAAGTACACAAGACACGATGCTTTATCCAACCGAATGACATTTTTAACAGTGCCCCCTTTGCTTTTTCTTTTGTTTTCAAAGTAGAGAAGTATTGTATCACTGTGGATATTTTCAGGTAGGTTACTGACATGAATTACATTTGACACCTCTACTTCATATATTTGGATTTTGGCGCCCTCAAGTGTTTCATCTTTCCAGTGCTCAATTAACTGTGCAATATCTAGAAAATTAAGTAAACAAGTGGGTTATAATAGCGCTTATATAGCTCACCTGCTGATTAAGGCTCTTAATTAATTAATGATAGAAAATCAGATATTAAACTATAAACTTAAACTGATATGAAAACATTAATATATGCACCTGAAATAGTGCAAATGTAAACAAGTTTTTTCCATTTTTTCATATATGTCTTTTTATTGGCTGTAACGTAAGCTAAACATCAGTAAAACAATTTCCAGGACATCTGACCAATTTCCAGGACATTTGTAGCCACTAGTGCCATAAATAATTTCTAGTTTTTGCTTTGACCTAGTTTTTCCAGATGATCCATGTTGAAACTCGTTCGAGCAATTATTGGGACAAACATCCTGACCAAGTTTGACAACTGAGATTAAAATGTGACCACTAAAGTGTAAATGTGGAGGGACAACAAACGACTGGAAAAAAACTATTCTTTAAAGAATATTATCATTCTATCGATAGTTATATTGATTCATTGCCTTACATGCATCCGTATGGTATGGTATGGTATACAAATTTTGTTTGGTTCTAAGTCACATCGACACAGTAAAGGTCTTTTTGGGCCTTTCAACATTACTGAAGGAGGAAAAAATAAGATGTTCCTATCTTAGGGATGATCAGGCACTTGGGTAGCACCAGCGACACTTACAAAGCTAGATGGATAGCTTTCGATCTTCTTTCAAAAGTCCCTGACAGAATTCGAGCTCAGAACAGTGATGAGCAACTGGTTTGCAGTATTTGGTGACAAAATGTATAACAAGACATGAAAATTTTTCTAATTAAATGATATAAAAACAAAATTTATTAATTATTTATGTTGCAGAATATTACTTTAATATAACTTAAAAATAGAAATGACCAATACCAAGATCGTATTTCATAATGACGAGAACAACATCTTTTTCTGTTTTATGAAATGCAAGAAACTTTGGTTTCATTCCAGTCACTGCTTTTATGAAGTACAATAGAAATTCGTCGGATATGTTTTCCTGTAATCCTTTGATCAGAAATCTGTCTCGGTAGAATTGAGTTTCACTATCTTTATGAAGTAGTGTTACACCAACTGATAATCCGTTTATAACGTGACGCCTTTCTACTACTGATTTTGCATCTACAAAATTAAATAGTAAACTGACTAATATTGACCACCGCCTACGCGGTCAAACTCGATTATCTCTTATTTTTATGTCAAAACATTAGAGTAACAATACTAAAGCAAAGATTTCTAAAAAAAACAAAAAACATAATTTTCTGGTAAACATAAAATATTCAAAATATCGTTTTTTTCTTCGAAAAAGTCGAGCTAAAATAAAATGGCTCTAAATGGAAATATTGATAAAGCACATCCAAAATATATTTAGGCAAAACGGGGTAGTTTTTATATTCCTTATCATTTATTGAAAGCAGACTAGATTTACCTTAGATCTAATATAGTTTAAACGTAAATATAACATTCATTTTATACAAACAATAGCAGCTGTTATTACAATGAGTTGATGGATGTTAATGGTGTACCTTTTGTGTTTTCAAACGTTATGTCGTAACTATCACCATCTGATTCTACAGGAACAAAAGATTTAATTGGTCCTCCACCCGAACGTCTTCTGTTTTCAAAGTAATACTCTACTATTTCCTTTGCTTGAATCATTTTCAGTCCGCGTACACGAACTATCGAGGCTGCATGTGTGGTTTGTGCCAATCTTGAATGAATGTTTGGGTTTTGTCGTAGTTTTACGTTAAGACTTTCACCTTTTAAAACATGGTTCGGGCATTCAGTTATCCTTTGTGCCACTGAAAATATACTCTATTTTTTATGGTTCTGTTATGTAGTTAAAATGGTATTATGATGTAAAGTTGTTCATTCTTTACCATAATATATCCTTTTATCACATAAACCGCGGCGCAGGAGTGTGATAAAGCCATTTAATAAAAACGATATTACACTAGTGTGATAACACTTTGATGTGACGTCATTTGCGCTATATATAAACATAGCGTTAAAGCGCGCTTATGTTAGCGTTACACTATAGGCGCGTCATTGTAAAATATACAAATGTACATATAGCTGAGATCATAGTTTAAGATGTAAATACAAGATCGCAAAGTATTTTTGTTAAACAAAATCTTAAGTATCTTCTGTATTGAACTTTGAAATACAGATACAGTTATTTTTTCAAATACAATCTTATCTTTTTCTGAAAACATAGAAAACATTCACGTTTTAAAATCATATTAACATACATGGTGTGAATCATAATGTCAATATAATGTGCTCAAATCGTTTATTAATATCCCTGCAAAACAAGCATCTCTCTTGCTGGAGGTCATGCCCTTCACACTTTCTCCCAGCTACTGATCTTTAGAGGAATTGCACTAAATGTGTACATGTATAAAATGCATTCCAATATGAGTTGTTTTCCTTTCATTATTTATTGAAGAAAAGCCACGACTTCCTGTCGCCAATCTAGCCCCGAAGCTACAATTTCATGAATCTTACTAGAAATTCACATGTCAATGTTTCATTCTAGATATCTAAGCTCTATCCCTTGTATTCATTAAGAAAAGGATTTTAATATTTTTATTATATTCATATAAGAAACACACATTACGCTTCATCTGAAACTGTGCATGAAGTAAAACAAATATAGCTGCAGCTATAGATAAAAATACTTTGTAGTCACTGGATCAAAATCTATGTGGAATACGAAAAGTAGATCACAGAGCCATAATCTCGAGTTGTAGGCTGTCGTTCCAAGGACTATGCTTTCAAATCATTTGGAAGAGGTCAACCAGACAATTAATACTGCTAAGTATCAAAGCTATTGCCTACAATGTACAATCAAAACAATCATATGAATCACGTAAATACTGTTGCAAAATATCTTAAAATACCTTGTTCGGAGTCAAACTTTATTACAACAACAGCATTAGCAGCATCAAACGAGATGTGTGTAATACTTCCATTCATATCCTTTTGACTCTCAAAGTAAAGTTGCAAAAGGTCTAACTTATATCGGTTTATTAGATTCTCTGGTCCCCGAACTTCAATTGTATCTTTGGGGCCATCTTCGTACTCTCCATCACCTTCTTCGTTGCCGCTCATTCTGTGTCCGTGTTTTACTATATTTTAAAAGATGAAAAATATAATGACTGGATATATAGTTATGATATACATGTAAATACATGAGCAAAAATGTCCAAGATATGATTAGAAAATACTTGAACCGTCCACACCATAGATGCGTTCTATCTGTTTCACCAAGCTACAGCATATATTAGAAGTAGAATTGAGATAAAGAGCTTGCCCATGCATTAGCATGCATTTAAATCGATGAAACATGGCTAAAGCAATGACTTGTTAATTATTAGAAAATACTTAATCTATGTAAACTTACAACGAGTACAAATATAAAAAAGAGGCAATGAATACCCTTATTTTGCTCAGCTAAATATGAAGACTCTAAAGACAAGAAACCATCAATATTGTAAACAATAAATGAAACGAAGATAATTATCAAGCCTTGATATTTAACCAATATCACAATGTTTATACATGTATCATCATTTGAAAAAATTGACATGTAAAACCTTTCTGCCTATTTATTGCTCATGGGAATCAATAGTTACTATAGAATAGTAAAAAACAGAATCCCTAAAGAATGTCAAAAACGGAAAAAAATGAAATTGTTGCATACTCGATTATATTGAGCGTGTTCATAGACGGTAAAGGGGAGTTCAAGCTTCCTTCCACGCCTCCTAGCACCAGCTAAAGCAGAATTCAACATAAAATGTGCAAGTGGTCAGATTTTGAATTCAGAAACATCCGCTAATGTGTTCATACGTCGATTAAAAGAAGGCGATTAAAAGAAGGCAAAATCAAGGAAGGTGAGTTCGATGAGGCTGTATTGATATGCCCCTTGTGGTCAAATCAAACTTGGTGTCCTTTGTTTTTAGAATAACTTGTTTCTATTCCAATCAGGTTACCGCGACACAAAGATTTATTGAGTCTCCCTCACAAGAACGAGTTACATCCAATGGGCAAGAAGCTACAGTGAATGGGAGCGATTGTATCTGGACGGAATTACAAAATCGAGGAATTCCGGACAAAGCTATCAAATCAGTTTTTCAAAGTTGGCGTCCAAGAACACAAAAACAGTATAATAATGCATGGACAAGTGGTATATGTGGTGTGGTCTCCGGATGTGTGATTCCTTTAAACCAGTTGAAAGTGACTAAATATCTTATCTAGTGTATCTTATCTTATCTAAAGAACATGAATAAATCATATAGTATTATTAGTTTACATAAATCTGTAATCTTAGAAACATTGAAAATATTACATCCTGTTCCCTCTTTAAACACATCTGTTTTGAATAGATTCATGAAGGGTTTATATGAGTACATATAAGTAATACCCCCCTAAAACAAGATATTTTAAAACATGGAATGTTAGAAAAGTTGTTGATCTCATTTCATCAAGGGTGCCGTCGGATTCTCTTACATTAAAGTTTCTAACTCTCAAACTTGTGTCGCTGATAACCTTATGTACAGCAGCTAGAGCTCAAACATGGAAAGCCTTGAACATTGATCATTTTTGTATAAAAGACAATGTTGTGTTTTTAATTGTGGGGACAAGCTTAAATCTTGTAAACCAGGACAAAATTTTATTTTACAATTAAAGGCTTACAGTAAAGCCGAGTTATGTCCAATAAGGACTTTGAAATGTGATATGAAATGTACACAGGGAGTAAGGAAAGACAGTCAGTTGTTTGTGTCATTTAAGAACTATAAGGCTGTTTCTACCAGCACTTTAGCTCGTTGGCTGAAAAGTGTTCTTTCAATGGCAGGTTTAGACATTAAAGAGTTAAAGGCACATTCTTTTCGAGGAGCCTCTTCTTCTGCTGCAGTTAAAGCAGGATGCAAAATTTCAGATATTTTAAAAACTGCTAATTGGTCATCTTCAAAAATTTCAAAAATTTTATTTGCGAGATGTAAACGATGAAAATGATAACAACTTCTAAGAATGTGTTTTGAATGGTTAATAAAACTGATAAGGGTGTACCTTGAATATTATTGTTATTCAAATGAGGAATATGGTTGTTTGGGATTTCGACTTAATTGAGATGTGGATTTTCATTCATGCGATTATGAAAATGATTTTCCTTGAATTGTTATTTTAGTATGTTTTCGCATACTTTCTTTGTATTATTTTAAAGTAAATTGGAAAAGAAATGATATAATTTTTTTTTCAGAATACCTGTGTTTTGTGCTGTCTTTTCTTTAAACATGCTTGTATATGAGAGCTGAAGGCCATTGAAAATAATGGCACCCCTATCCAAGCATTTTTTGAAAGATGGGGGGCATTTTTGGAAAATGGCCTGAGGCCGAAATATACAAGCACCCTCCCTTGAAGGTGGCTTTTTCATTAATCATCTTTTTTAATTTTTTCCCAACCCGTAGACATTGTATTTACTAATAAGTGAAATGATAAATTTCAATAACACAATGTCTTGTTTGTTTTGTAATGATGTTTACAAATTTTAATTTATATATAGTTGTTTTTTAGAGTTTTAAAAAGGTATTTTTAAAACTCTTGAATGTTTGGTAAAACAAGCCAACATAAAACTTGCTTTAAATTATGAAATGCATGTGGAAATGTCCCAGTTTATATACTTTGTGGTCACGTGATATCAGGTCATTTTTGTTGACCTGTAAAAAGCGACGGTTCTCTATGGTTCACTGAAGTGATATGCTTGTATATTTCGGCTTCGTGTGATATGCTTGTATATTTCGGCCGGGTGATGCTCCCCGAGAAGGTTTTGGACACAGGAAAGTATAAAAAAATAAACAAAGGACAAAAACTTCAAAATTAGGCGTGGCAGAGTTATGGTTTTCTGCACTGCACTTCTATTTAATGAGATCTATCTATAAAAAATCGTGAAGATATCTCTTATGGTTTCAAAGTTATGTCCCGGGTAAAATTCAAAGTGTAAACATGAACAAAGGGCAATAACTCCAAAACTCAAAACTAGAGAAGGCTGTGATTAGGTTCTTTAGCATTGCAGTTCTATCCAATGAGATATATCTATCTTAAAGTTTCATGTTGATATCTCTAACAGCTTTAGAGTTATGTCCCGGACAAAAATCAAAAAGTAAAAATAAACAAAGGACAATTATAAACTTCAAAATAAGGCAAGGCAGAGTTATGGTTCTTTAGCACTGCACTTCTACCCAATGAGACGTATCTACCTACAAAGTTTCATGTTGATATCTTTTATACTTTTAGAGTTATGTCCCAGACAAAGTTCAAAGTGTAAAAAGAAACCAAGGGTAATAATTCAAAAATTATGCACGACAGATTTACGGTTCTTAAGCACTGCACACATTCTTTATGAGATCTATCTACCTACAAAGTTTCATGTTGATACCGCTTATAGTTTTAGAGTAATGTCTCGGATAAAAATCAAGTGTAAAAATAAACAAAGGGCAATAATTCAAAAATTGGGCAAGACAGAGTTACGTTTCTTATGTACTGCAAATTTACTCAATGAGATCCATCTATCTGCAAAGTTTCATGATGATAACTCTGTTAGTTTTAGAGTTATTTCCCGGACAAAAACCAAAGTTTAAAAATAAACAAAGGGCATTTATTCAAGAATTAAGCAAAGCGGAGTTACGATTCTTTAACAATGTACTTTTATTTAATAAGATCTATCTATCTACAAAGTTTCATGTTGATACCTCTTATAGTTTTAGAGTTATATCCCGAACAAAGTTCAAAGTGTAAAATGAACAAAGAGCAATAATTAAAAAAAAATTAGACAAGGTAGAGTTACGGTTCTTGTGCCCTGCACACCTACTCATCGAGATCTATTTACCTACAAAGTTTCATGTTGATACCTCTTGTTTTTAAAAGTTATGTCCCGGACAAGAAAAGCGGACGTACGGACTGACGTGCCACTTAAATGTACTAAGGACAGAGGGACGATCGGATGGACAAAGCAGTGATTACATGCTCACCTTTCGGGGAGCATAAAAACCAACAGTGGTGTCCCTTTTAAACATATTTGCTAGGATTTTAAATTCTTTTTGATCGCTTAAGAAAATATACAATAACTAGAGTAATCAGCTGACACGCTTGTCGCCTCATTATAGCCATTTGTATGTTGCAGCTTCTGTGTAGAAGGAGAGTTGTTTAATACATGCAAAAGCTTCAAGTACCTATCAATCCTGTACAGTTTCAATTAAATTGCATTATTAAAAAGTATAAGAGAGCAAAATTTAAAAAATAAAAATCATTTAAGGGCCATAACTCAACTCAAAAAATCATTGAACCATATAACACCGATAATATGCCTAACTTGACTTAATACTTATCATTCCTGTAAAATTTGATGAAATTACATCAATAGTTTTTTGAGAAGTAATCCGGACAAGCTTCTGTGAAGCTGGCAACAAAAGACATTTTTTTATTCAAGGGCCATATCTCAGCCAAAAAGTCATTCAACTTTAAAATCCGTTCCATATGCTTTCTTGAGCTACTGATCAATCAAATATTATAAGTGGTGTAGGAGGAGTAGTCTGGACAAACTTTAAAAAAACACAAGAAAATGTCGAACGATACATGCGCCCTTTTTCTAGCCTTATACTGTGTTGCTATCTTTTTTTTTTATAGAAACATGCCATAAATGGGAACATGGAAGTGTTCAGTTAAAAATAAAAATAATGGCTAATATATGACCTGAAACTGAATAAAAGCTATCATTAATAAGATATACAAGTTGACGAGTAGCTGGAAAAAATATTATATTATCATATAAATGTAACTATAAGCATCAGTTCTTTGACATCAACTGAAATGAAAGAAACAAATACTAAACTCATCGTGTCTCAATATCAGATTTAATAATAAATTTTACTTCACAAAACAAACTTGTGTTGCTTTTTTTCTGTGAACACGAAAGCAAATCCGTAACTCTTGAGTAGCTGTTGAAATATCTTCAATGATGGGGAAAGAGCATTTTCATTTAAATCTCCAAGAATTATTGTGTTTTGTTTAGGATCTTGTGACTTTAGAAGAAGTTTTATGTCTTCATAAAGACAAGTTTGTGAGACTGATGGTGAAAAG